GCCAAGCGTTGGCAAATTTCATTTTTTGTAGCTTCTTTAAACGTTGCGCTTTGAAGCTTCTGTGAACCATTTAAATATCAATGCTGCGGCCGGCTTTCCTCCATTTGGCTTCTAACAAAAAAGAAAAACAAAAGAAAACATAAAAACGCTAGGAAAAAATGTTGTGAAAATTGCAAAATACGAGGCACACAGTTAATAAAAGTTTATGCGTAGAATCAGCAATAAAGCTGCCCTCTCAACTTTAGATATAATTAAATTTCCCAACAATGTGCTGTTCCCCTCTGTCTCCTTTCTCCTCCCTCGCTGTCTCTCTCTGTACGTATACGTATATATTTATATATTCTCGCTGCTTTGCATAAAGCACAAAGCCAACAAGAGCGACTGTGAACAGGACTAATATCTTTTTAAATCATAACTTGCCTTCTATGCGGCGGCAAGAGGAACTGCAGAGCAGGTGCCCCCCGGGGCCAGAATCATCACAGCTGCCCCCATTCAGTATTTTCCCCTCTGCCAACTGCCGCTTTAAGCCAGCAGTCGCCCCACTTGCATTAAGCTGAGAGTTACAGTTCCGTTGGCGTTTGAATAATTGTTTGACATTTTGAATAATTTAATTCAGCGACTGTTTTTAAGTGTTGCTCGAGCGAAAATGAAATTGAAAACCAGATCTAACCTTGCCCTCGTCGACACCCCACAGCCTTTTGATCCCGAGCCAAGCGAAGCCAAGCCAAACCAAACCAAACCAAACACAGCGCAACTCTCAGCTGAAGTTCAAGATTATGGCTTGGGGAATTTGGTGACGCCACCGACGGGCCGCCACTCATTGTGCAACAAGCCGCCCCAAGGCGAAATATGGGGTCGCGTGGGCGTTGCTCGGCCAGACTGCCCAGCAAACTGTGCGCTAATCGAGCAATTAAACACGTCTCGCATTTGGACTAGCGACCAGGCAAACAGCCAAGCAACTAAACAGCTAAGCAACTGCCAACAAACACACTCACACAGACACAGACACACACACACTCACACAGAGCCTGTTGTGCCTGACAATTTACAGTTATGGCTAGACCACACACTCGCCTACAAACCGACCAAAGTTGACAAAGTCCACTGAATAATTGTCCATTTGTTGGCCACTACAGCAAATTGAAATCAATGTATAATGCATATTCAATTACGCATACTTAAACACATGCCAATAAAATGTCGCTCAGTTTTTAAAGCTGTCAAACTTGTACTCATTTAGATTAGATGCATATCTTTGGTCGTTCGATTTGGGGTCAAGTGTGGGGAATAGTGTGGAGCTACTGCTGCGGCTGGACGTGGCGTGCTTCCAATCGCACGTTGTTTGATACATAAACAATCACTGATTATTTATATATGTACTTATGTATGTATATGCATGTGTAAGCTGGTTAACTTTAATTAGCTTCATTGACTCAATTTTACATGGGGGGTATATAATAGATCTATTTAAGCTGATTTAACGACTGGAAGCCAAAACAATAGATGCTACATATTTTGTTCGTCTAAGTTCCCTACACCAAAAGAAATAAATAAATAAATAAAAAAAAAAAATAAATAAA